AGCCTTGCAAAATTAAGTGAAGTGTCTTCAATGCATTTAGGATTGTATCATTCTAAATTTAAATATACCTTTCTTCAATTAGAAAGTATTTGTACATTTTTTCAATTGTAAATAAGTTATTAAAATCACATTTTATTTCAGATTACTTTAAACTATATGCTTGTACTGGACAATTTGAAAAATCTGATTTTTAAATTTTGTTTTAGATAGAAAAATGTAGACCTTAGCAGTAAACTTTCCATCCTACCTAATGTGTTTTATGTACTGTGAGAGTTTGGTAATCAGGAATAAGTTGTTTTCTTACTGCTTGATATATTTAATAAACCGAAGTTCTAATGTATATAAATTTTGTCTCTCAAACTGCTTGACCATGGTAATTTGGTTCTAAGCCAGAAGTGCATTAAGTACAAATTACAATTATTTTGGCTTTCCTTGAGCATTTTCTCTGGACTACAGTGTATTTGATAGAATTATATTACCAGTAATGAAATCTTGACTATTTTGATTAGACAATGAAATATTCTTGTCATCTGAGCAATTGGTGTGAATTCATTTATTAAAGTTCCTCCAGAAGATTAGGTAGCAAACTATATGAAAGAACTATAGTGCTCTTCCTAAAATGAGGCATAACAGAATTTCAGTTAACACTGTCAGAAAGCACTCTATAAAGTTTCTCAATGTGACATTTGTTCATATATTTTAGCCTCTTCTATGGGGGACTTGGGTAATGAAGTATAGTTTTGACTGTCGTTTGTCAGTTGGAAAGGTTCCAAAACCAGGGAAGCATTTGTACATGTGCATATGTTGGCAAAGTTCCCCTTTTCTCCTGTTGTCAAAGACCATTTTATTTTCACAAAGATATGTTTGTATCTGTTCTACAATATGGCATGTGAATAATATACCAATAATGTATGGAGGAGTTTTTTGTTTCACTTTTTGCGTGACAAAACTGTAATCTTCCGTATTATTTTAGTCCTTTTATTTTTATGTCAGAGTCTTTATATAGGAATGTTTCTGGGAAATAATTAAATCTTTTGTGATTGTTTAACAAAACTTTCCTGGTCATGGAGGTATTTTAAATTGGGGGAAATAGCTGAGAATGGTGTTTGGTTCCTCAACAGTTTTTGTCCTGCACATTGGACACGAGTAATCTCGTTTTTTTTGATTCCCAAAAGAAATTTTAAAATTCTCAGGTACAATTAGAACTGTGTTTACCTCTAATTTCTAAAGAACCAACAGATACGATTGCCTAACTAAAATGGAATCAATTAAATTACTATAATTAAAGATTCATATATATCTAAGTTTTTCATTTATATTATTAGGGTTTCATCACAAAGCTACAATATTAAAATTTAAGAGAAACAGGTTATACACACAAGGAACAAGTACAGTTATTGCGCATTGATGTAGTTGAAAGGGAGTAATTGAAATTGGGTAATTCTGGGTGAAGTATAATTCTCAATTTGTTTTTTGTTTTAAAGTTGGTAAAAACTAATGCAGGGATATTATTGTGTTTGGACAATTTTATAAAACTCAGGGCAAAATTAATATTGCCCATTTTTCTAATAGCTACAAGAAGAGCCTCATTTTGTAGTCACTAAATTGTGGATTATTCAATTTCTAGCAATAGAGTAGGCCATGTTGATACAGGCATGCCTTGGAGATATTAAGAGTTCAGTTCCAGACCACCTCAATAAAGCAAACATCATGATAATGTGAGTCACGTGAATGTCTTAGTTTCCCAGTGCATATAAAAGTTCTGTTTACATTATACTATAGTCTACTAAGTATGTAAGCATCATGTCTAAAAAATATATACATATCTTAGTTAAAAATACTTTTTTTTTGCTAAAGAATGTTAACGATCATCTGAGCCAGATCTTCAGTGAGTTGTAATCTTTTTGCTGGTTGAGGGTCTTGCCTCAATGTTGATGGCTGCTGACTGATCAGAGTGGGTGGACGGTTATTTGTTAAAATAAGATGACAGTATAGTTTACTGCATCAATTGATTCTTCCTTTCGTGAAGGATTCTTCTGTAGCTTGCCATATTTTTGATAGCATTTTACCCACTGTAGAATTTCTTTCAAAAATTGGAGTCAGTATTCTCAAACTCTATTGCTGTTTGTCAACTAAGTTTAGGTCATATTCCAAGGCCTTTGTTGTCATTTCACCAATATTCACAGCATCTTTACCATTAGATTCCATCTCAAGAAACCACTTTCTTTGCTCATCCATAAGAAGCAACTCCTCATCTGTTCAAGTTTGATCATGAGATTTCAGTAGTTTAGTGTCCACATCTTCAAACTCTACTTCTAATTCTGGTTCTCTGGCTATTTTCACTCTGTCTGTAGTTACTTCCTCCACTGTAGTCTTGAACCCCTCAAAGTTATCCATGGGATTTGGAATCAACTACTTCCAAACTCTCACTGTTAATATTGATATGTTGACCTTCTCCCAGGAATCACAGACACACTTAATAGCATCTAGAATGGCAATTTATTTCCAGAAGATTTTCAGTTTACTTTTCCCAGATCCATTTGAGAAATTACTGTGTATGGCAGTGATAGCCTTATAAAATGTATTTCTTAAATAATAAGACATGAAAGTTGAAATTGCTCCTTGATCTGTGGGCTGCAGAATGGATGTTGTGTTAGCAGGTGTGAAAACAACATGAATCTCCTTGCACATCCCCATCAGAGCATTTGAGTAGCTAGGTGCATTGTCAATGAGCAATAATGTTTCAACAGGAACCTTCTTTTCTGAGCAGTAGATCTCAATGGTGGGCTTAAAGTATTTCGTAAAGTATGCTGTAAATTAATGTGCTCTCTTGCAGGCTTTCTTGTTCCATGTATAGAGCGTAGGCAAGTCAATTTAGCATCATTCTTAAGGGTTCTGAGATTTTTGGAATGGTAAACGAGCATTGGCTTCAACTTAAAGTCACCAGCTGCATTAACCCCTAATCAGAGCCTGCCCTTTTGAAGCTTTGAAGCCAGTCATTGACTTCTCTGCTCTAGTTGTAAAAGTCCTGGGGAGCATCTTCTTCCAATAGAAGGCTATCTTATCTACATTGAAAATCTATTGATTAGTCACTTTCATTAATTATCTTACCTAGATCTTGTGGATGACTTGCTGTGGTTTCTACATCAGCACTTGCTGCTTCTCCTTGCACTTTTATATTATGGTGATGAATCTTTCTTTAAACTGTGTTAACTAACCTCTGCTAGGTTCAAACTTTTCTTTGGAACTCTGAGCCTTCATAGATTTGAAGTGACTTGGGTTCTTGTTCTGTATTAGGTATTGGCTTAAGGGAATGTTGTGACCGATTTGAGCTTTTATCCAGATCACTAACACGTTCTCCCTATTAGCAATAAGTCTGTTTCACTTTCTTAATATTTGTGTGTTCACTGGTGTAGCACTTCTAATTTCTTTCTATAACATTTCCTTTGCATTCACAGCTTGGCTGTTTGGTTTAAGAAGCCTAGCTTTCTGCCTATCTCAGTTTTAGATGTGCCTTCCTCACTATGCCTAATTGTTCCTAGCTTTTGGTTTCAAGTGAGAGACCTGCAACTCTTTTCATTTGCACACTTAGAGGCCATAGTAGCATTGATAGGCCTAGTTTCAATATTGTTGTGTTTCAGGGAACAGGGAGGCCCAGGAAGAGGGGAGAGATGGGGGAACGGCTGGTTGATAGAGCAGTCAGAACACACACATTTATTGATTCCTTTTTTTCTCCAATGTTCATTTTCTAGTTATGTATTTTAGCAGTGGAAAGTATCTTAGGTAAAGCCTATTATTTTACCTAAGGTGAAAATGACTGTTCATGGTCATGGAAGACTTTTTTTTTTTTATTATTTAGGATGATAATCCTCTTAGTAGTTTTAAAATCCATTAGAAAACCTTGCTAAGATGAGAATAATTTTGAGGCTGGGCCAAGGAGAACAGAAAATATGGCTGGGAAAGGGGAAAAAGATGAACTTGGACCTAATGTGCTCAGAGTAGAGGTTACATTAATAGGATATCAGTTTGTCCCTTCCCAGCCTTTGGATGTAGGGTAAAAGACACCTCTCAAGAATCCTTCCCTGGGCTGGGTGTCGTAGCTCACCATGTCTGTAATCCCAGCATTTTGGGAAGCCGATGCGGATGGATCACAAGGTCAGGAGATCGAGACGAGACCATCGTGGCCAACGTGGTGAAACCCCGCCTCTAGTAAAAAATACAAAAATTAACCTGTCATGGTGGCAGGCTCCTGTAGTCCCAGCTACTTGGGAGACTGAGGCAGGAGAATGGCTTGAACCTGGGAAGTGGAGGTTGCAGTGAGCTGAGATGGCACCACTGCACTCCAGCCTGGAGACAAAAGAGACTCTGTCTCTCACAAAAAAAAAAAAAAAAGAATCCTTCCCTGAAGTCCACCACCTGCTTTCCTGCCTAGGTAAGCCCCTACTAAATGCTTCTCTCAGACCTGTACCACTGCTTAGTAACTAACACTTTTCATATTCATAATTATTTGTTTGGTGTCTGCATGCATAAAACCCCATGGCTAAATGGAGACTGGTTCATCCTTAATTGCCACCATAACACAGTGCCCTGATAACTGGTAAATAACTGCTGGTTAATAGGCTGCAGTGCTGTCTTTCTAAATAAATAGATTGGTTGGTTACATTTACAAAACTGAAGAAGATAAAGGAAAGCATAAATACATTTAGATTTGGTAATAAAGACAGTATCTTCCCTTTTATTGATCAGTTTGGTTCTTAGATTTTGAGAAAAAGACTTGTCATCCTGTTTTAGCTTTATAATGTAAAGTTATCTATTTAAAATTTTTTTCAGGTCCATAGTACTGGTATGAGTTAGGAAAAAATGAAGTTAATCTCTAATAAATTGTTGAATGGAATAAGAAAATCCAAATTCATACTAGTAGCAATCTCTACTAAAGAATCTGAGGATAGACCTAGGATATCTTCAGAATCTCTTGTAATATTAAGACAATTCTTTCGTAGAGTTTTCCGTCTGATGAAGGTTGGCCATTTGCAAAGTATCTTGGAGCTTGTGGAAGAATGGTGGCTGTAAATTATGTTGGAGAAGAACTTTGGAGTTACTTTAATGCACCATGGGAGAAACGAGTTGACCTCGCTTGGCAATTAATGGAAATAGCAGAACAGCTTACAAACAATGACTTTGAATTTGCACTCTACCTCCTGGACGTCAGCTTTGACAATTTTGCAGTTGGTCCTAGAGATGGGAAGGTAATCATTGTGGATGCTGAAAATGTTTTGGTTGCTGACAAAAGATTAATTAGACAAAGTAAGTATATAATTTTTAGATTTTTTCCTATGTCAAAATAATGTTTATACTCGTATGAAATGAGTTTTGAATTTCCTCCTTAGATGGCAACTTTAAGCGTCTTTCTTTGCTTTATATAACCACTGTCAATAAACAAACACAGATACTCTTTGACTTAGTAGGGGGTTACATCTTGATAACATCATTGTAAGTTGGAAATACTGTAATTTGAAATACATCTAACCTATGGGACATCATAGCTTAGGATGGAAATAGTCTAAGACAAAGTCTATTTTATAATAAACTATTGAATATAATTATATTCATGTAATATACTGAATTCTGTACTGAAAATGAAAAACAGAATGGTTGTATGCGTTCTTGAAATATGGTTTGTATTGAATGAGTATCACTTGCACCATTGCAACAATGAAAAATCGTAAATTGAACTATTAGCAGTTGGGAACCAATTATACTAAATCATTGTATTTCTATACTTTTAGTCACGGTTTCTCCATGTTTAGCAAAATATTCTTTGTATTCAGTTGGACACAGATATATTCTATGTGTATGTATATGTCTTTTGCATACTGTGTGCTATATTCTGTGGTTTAAGAATCTAATGCAGAAATAAATTTAATATATTGTTACAGGCTACCACAGTAACTGTATTGCTCTCACGGAGGCCTCGTTTTTCTATGGGACCTCTTATAGGGATGTTCTGTTGTTCTGTGGCGGGGTCACTACAATAATGGTTTTGTTTTATTTTTGACCATTTTGATGATTCCTGGCACTGCAGCTCTGGGTTTTGTTTGACATTCTGATTATTACATCTCACCGAAAACTTTGCTTTTCCATTTAATTTTGAGTCCTGTAGATGGGTAGTGTCTGAAGTGGTCTGAAAATTAAATGCCATAGAATTTTAAAGCATCAAGGTCAAAGCCTGTAGGTCTATAACCACGTCAGTTAGAAAAAGAAACCAAAGGGTTGTTGCTCCATGGTGAGGGTCTTAACATTTTTTAATCCCCTCTTTTCCTTCCGATAAAAGTGATATGAGTATCTTTTGATAAACAAAGGCTGAAAATCTGTGGCACCTGGGGAAAAGTTTATGTGAGAGCCATATATTAAGTTAACATTTACTTTTTGCATGATCTTAGCATGACCCTGTTAAATACTTGATTTTTCCCACTCCTTTGTTCAGATTTTATACTTACCAGACTACTTTCTGATTATTTCTTGTCTTGCCATGTAGATCCTCCTATAGGAAGTGAACACCTTGATGGAGTATTCTACTCCCTATTTACCTCTTCCTACATCTGTGAATGTCGTAGCAGCATATACTGTGGTTTCTTTTTTAAAGCATACACAAGCAGGTGGATTTTAATATATTCATAGACTTGTGCAGTTGTCCTAAACTTAAAATTATTCCAGTGTTTGTAAAATAATTTTATAATTCATTTTATGCAGACATTCCTGGAATAATTGTTATTAATTCCTGACCTTAGATGAATCCAACCATATAGCTTCTGTATTCTTGCATTTCATACAGTGAGCATTGCTCTAGTGCTACTTTAACTCTGGTCAGTTCTTTGCAAATGTCTCATGGGTCCTCTAAATAGCCACTTTGCAAAAGCCTCTGTCTATTCATTCACTCTCTTTTCTTTCCACTTTCTAGTAAATGACCTTTATTTTATTTCTTCACAGGGAAATTGAGGTTTTGCTGTGGCAACTCCCTCGGTATCCTTCTTTGTTGTCTAATCCTCATTAAAACAACACACATTCATCTTTCTTTTTCAGGTAGATTCTTCTTCAGAACTTGTTGCATCGTTATCTTCTTCAATGCCCCACCTCCTTCCTTTAATATCCAACTTCTCTTGCCTTCCTATAAAAAGAATATGTAAGACTTTTCTGCTTCTCCTTGTTTGTCCACTTTTTTAAAAGTATTTATTGCCTCTCTGCTTCCTCGGCCTCTGTTCATTCCTTAGTCTATTAAAACCTGACTTAGACATCTGCCTTGCCATTAGCAACCACCTAACTGGCAAACTTGTGAAGTAATTGTGATTATTATCAACTTTTTGAAGTTCTTTCCTCCTTTGGAACAGTAACCTTCCTTCTGTTGAAATAATAACCTTCAGAAAACATAAATCTGATCTTACTACTCCTTTGCTTAAATAGCTTTAATGACTTCCCATTGTTCTTCAATTAAAATCCAAACCCCTTAACCAGGTCATAATCTGTGTGACTTGGCCTTCTTCTCATTCTTTTTCTTTTCTTATCTTTTTTTTTTTTTTTTTTTGAAACCGAGTCTCTGTCACCCAGGCTGGAGTGCAGTGGTGGAATCACAGCTCACTGCAGCCTCGACCTCCTTGGCTCAAGTGATCCTCCTGCCTCAGCCTCCCAAGTAGCTGGGACTGCCGGCACACACCACCATGCCTGGCTAATTTTTAAATTTTTTGTAGTGATGGGGTCTCACTGTGTACCCCGACTTGTCTCAAACTCCCGTGTTCAAGCAGTCCTCTCACCTTGGCCTCTTAAAGTACCAGGATTACAGATGTGAGCCACCCTGCCCAGCCTTTTCGAGTGCTTCGTTTGTAATACCCCTCTGTCTATTGCCCTTGCTGCTTCTGCTACAACGGCCTTTTGTTTTCCTGAATGAATCGGCCCACTTCTGGGCATTCCCATATGCAGTTTCCTCTTCCAAAAATGCCTCTTCCTTCTTCTGTATACAGCTAGCTAATTTGTTTTTCAAGCCTTGGCGCCTTCAAGTACATGTGTGCTTATGTGTTCTCTATAAGCCTGTTATCCCTCTTAAGTTTCAAGTCTAGCTCTAGTTGCACGTATGACATGCCCCTCTGACACCTTATAGCTCCTTTATGTTTATTTTGTTTATATACAAAATATTGACACTATGATGTCAAATACTTAATGTCATACACTTATGTCATATACCATATGTCATATACTTACTAATTTTTGCCTGAAATGTTTCTCCAATCTAGCTTTTCATTCTGGGCTTTCTATAGTTGCTGTCATGATCTTAATCCTTTTAATCTTCAACCCAGAATTATCTTTCTATAAAATAAATTATGGTTATGATTACACAGTTTCAACTTATTTTCTGTATCTCCTTCCCAAGTACCTTTCTCACAGTCTGCACAGTGAACTTACTGCTTCGTGAACCAACTGGACTAATCTCTCAAGTCCATGCCTTTGTATAACACTGTGGTGTGAACCTAAAATGCTGTTTTTCCTAGTTTCTTTTCAGATTTGTTATCTTTTAGGACCTAAATAAGATGTTCTCCTTTTTGCAGCTTTCTACAGCCCCAGGGAAAAGTGCTAATTCCCCACTATTCCTGTAACATTGTGTCCTATTTCTTTATGGCACTTTCTGTGTATGATGGAAAGTCACTAGGCTAAACCTGTAAGTGGTAGGGGCCTTTTTGAATCCTTCTGCCTGGCATTGATGAGTTCCCAGTGAATGTTTGTATGAATTTATATATTTCAATGTTTAAAGTTATAATATACTTTTGCCTAAAAGTATAGAACGAATATTATTAATTAGTGAAATATTCCATTTTTGGAAGCAATGAAAACTATATTTTAATTTTTTTTTCTACCTCTGCTTTTCCTCCTTTCACAGATAAACCTGAAAATTGGGATGTGTGGTATGAAAGCAAATTTGATGACTGTGATAAGGAGGCTTGCTTATCATTTTCAAAAGAAATTCTTTGTGCTCGTGCCACTGTGGACCACAATTACTATGCTGTTTGTCAGAACCTCTTATCCAGACATGCCACCTGGCGTGGCACTTCTGGAGGACTCCTTCATGATCCACCAAGTGAAATTGCCAAAGATGGCCGCCTCGAGGCCTTGCTGGATGAGTGTGCCAACCCAAAGAAGCGCTATGGCAGATTCCAGGCTGCAAAAGAACTGCGTGAATATCTGGCACAATTAAGTAACAATGTGAGGTAGTCTATGGTGAACATTTCTTTTTTTCTCCATTTAAACAGCACTAGGTAAAACTAAACCACCAAAAACTATCTGAAAAAATGAAATTTGGAAGTATTACATTCAGAGGATGATAAACTTGCACTGATAGATCTTAATGTTAACATCCATCAAAATAAGACATTACTTCAAAAATCACATGATGCTTCTGCAAAAAAGTATGTTCTTATACTTTGGAGGCTTGAGCTGTCAGCAGCTGCTCTCCCCTACCCCGGAATGCTTGAGTGGATTAATGAATATTGTTAAGCTATTGGAAATGAGTCTGATAGTACATTGGCTTGTGTATCAAAGGATACTTGGTACTTAGTTTGCATTTACTATCATGATTTTGTGAATCTCTTGCATTTACTTTGAATGTCAAGTTAGATTGGCCTGTTTTATAGGCCACATTTTCCTTCTGATGTGTAGGGTTTTTTCCCCATTTTTGTTATTTGTTTAAGTTAAATTTTGAACATTCAGGTGACTGTAGGTGTTCATTTAAATTTTGACTAGTTCTCATTCAGTGCTATTTGGTACGTTACTTACAGTTAGGGCAGGATTCCCAGGTTTACTTTGTTTTTTTTTTTTTTTAAAGAAACCTAAATATTATGTAAATACTTCTTTTCACCACCTTCTGTAGTTTCACCATTGCATGATATCATTTCAGGTTATTTAAAAGTTATATCCCTCAATGCCAACAATTGCAAGTGTACACTAAACATGAAGTATGGCATATGTTGTAAAATGTCATTTTATCCTTTACTAAAGGCTTTAAGAATATACTAGCAATCTATACCTTGATGTTCATTTCGATTCAGAAAAAAATACAATCCAGTATCTAAAAAGTGTTAACTAGTCCAAGATAGTAATGCATATGCCAAAGAAATATTACACCTAGTCTCATGTTTAGAATTTAAAATAGAGTTGATCACATACTTATTTTTACCACTCTACTTCCAGTATTTTAGCTCTGTCATTATTAAATTCAGATCTTCCTGGTTATTCTTTCTGTTGAAAGTTAAACTACCGCTTTCAAGTAATTTAAAGTTATCCTACCTTTTATTCATGGGTAGTTTTGCAAAATTTACATGGTAGACATTGTTTGAATTTAATCAGGCATCATAACCTTTTATTTATTGATGAACTAATCATTATTACTGTAAAGAAGACAAGTTAGCCAGTCAGCCCACTTTGGTCTTCTTTACCTAATGGTTATACATCCAAACATCAAATTTAAGTATTTGGATGGAAATGTGTGGGCTTGTTAAAAAATGTTATAGTATATAAGTTGACTATCACTAACAGGTAATATTTTTCTGTTTGAAGTTGTTACTTTTGTTTACAGCAAAGTTTTGATGTAGTGTGCGGTAGTGAGTTCTAGACTGATCTTATTCTAAATCAGAAAGTGATTAAAGTATGCACAACCAAAGCCAGGTTTTTCTTTTTCGTTTATTCAGTAACTATTTATTAAGCATCAACTCTGTGCCAGGCACGTTACTAGCTGCTACATACTGTCTGAACATGACATACGGTTAAGTAACTTTACAATTATTAGCAAATACTTCAATGTAGATATTTCTTAAGTTGAAATAGCATTAACAAGGATAATGCTTTCATGTTATTTTGTCTTGTGATGGAAATTCAACTTGTACCATCTAAAATTAAGTTGCTATAAAAATAGGATGGGATGAAGTCAATAAAGTTAATGCCAGTTTAAAAACTGAAAGGAAAAGGTAAGAGCTTTCCATCATAAAATAGTTGCATTATGTTAATTTTTACACATTAGTGCATTGCATATATCAACTGGCCCTCAATGAAGCATATAAGTGCTGGGAAATTTACTAAACTGACCCTTTTTGCAACTTTGGGAAATTTTTGAGGGGAGTAGTTAAAATTGTCAGACACTCACCTCTTACTCAAAACTTCAAATAAAATACACTTTTTCAAAAGGGAGCACCTTTTATATTTGATAAGTTTTCATTATAAACCTTACAATACCAGTCACAAAGAGGTCGTCTGTCTATGGTTTAGTGAACATTTGCTTTTCTTTTTGGAAGTGTGATTGCGATTGCAGAACAGAAAGTGAGAAAACACTGCCAGCAGTGATTGCTACTTGAGGTAGTTTTTTATAACTACCATTTCCCCTCCATGAAATTATGTGAAATTTATTTTATCTTTGGGAAAAGTTGAGAAGATAGTAAAAGAATTAGGGATTTAAAATTACAGGGAAAAAATGTGTAAGTGAAAAAGCAATAAGTATTTTGTTCACTTTGCTATCAAGATGTTCACTATCAGATATTTATTATATGGCAGCAATTTATATTTTTAATCATTGCCCATTAATAGACGCAGTAAAATATTTTTGAATCAGACATTTGGGGTTTGTATGTGCATTAAAATTGTCTTTTGTACTGTAAGTTACTGTTAATTTGAATATTTTATCGAACTGTCTCCCTGTGCCTTTATAATATAAAGTTGTTTCAACAACTTTTAATGATCTTAATAAAGAATACTTTAAGAATCACACTTTTCAGACTATTTCTTAACTTCAGATATCCACATTTTTCTTGAGTGGAAAATGAGTTTGTGTAGATAAGTTACTTTTTTCCTCTTGCATGCACTTTATTAGAATTTTGAGGGAACTATCTGATTGGATGTGTATGGCTTAAGGTTATGTGTGTTTTCTTTTTCTGTAGTACTGAATTTTAAAAAACTTTTACCACTTAAATGGAATTTAAAAAAAACTTCTTTATGGAAATGTTCAAATGTATGCAAGAGAATAACATAATGAAAATAGTATAGCTATCATTATACTAACTTCAAAAGTTAACATGTGGCCAAACTTGCCTCCAGCTTATTTTGAAGCAAATCTGAGATGTATCATTGGGTTTATATTAGGCATTTTCCCCTAGCAAAACACAATACTAATTTTTTTTTTTTTTTTTTTTTTTGAGACTGAGTCCCACTCTGTTGCCTAGGCTGGCCTACAGTGGCATGATCTTGGCTCACTGTAACCTCTGCCTCCTGGGTTCAAGTGATTCTTGTGTTTCAGACCTCCCAAGTAGCTAGAATTATAGGCGCCCACCACCACACCCGGCTAATTTTTATATTTTTTGTAGAGACGGGGTTTCTAGCCACGTTGGCAAGGCTAGTCTTGAACTGTTCACCTCAAGTGATCTGCCTTCTTCTGCCCTCTAAAGTGCTGGGATTACAGGTGTGAGCCACCATGCCCAGCCTCACAATACTATTTTACATCTAAAAAATTAAAAATAAAAACTCAGTATTACCAAAGCAGGAAAACTCTCAAACACCATTGTTTTTCTCGAAAACTCTGGATCCAACTTCAGGGATTCAGTACCACTGACTGTACAGATGGAGCAATTTCATGATCAGTAAGACATAACTGCAATTATTGCAACATGCTATTATAAATATGTAAATTTATGCATTCAAAATGCTACTAAAACCAGCAACCAAAAATAACAAACTACCTCAGTCACCTTTGAAAGGATTCCGAAAACTGCTACATTGGAGAAAAACATTTATCCTGCCATACCTCCGGATCACCAAATTATGAGGGGAAACATTGGTAGAATACTTAGAAATATTTCAATTAACAAGTGCAGAAGGAGTGTTAGAATATTGCTGTTCTTCAATTCCTGTTAAATTGACAAATCTAAGCAACGATCATCAATGGCTTCAGAGACTATTAGCTGAAAAGCTGATGAGAAACCTTGTAAGGATAAATGAGAATGGCAACACCGGACCCCACTGGTCAATCTTACAGTAATGTGTCTTCTGGCAAGACTCAACAGGTACCCAGCATCGCCTATGAAGTGCCTGGCCAAAATACAAAAACCCTGAATCAAATCAAGCCCCTACACCTATCGGTAAATGGAGAGTGAACGGCACAGAGGAACATGTTAAAGGCCACCATGGGGGTGCAGTCAACAAAATTCTGAACAGGTGATTCTACAGGATAAATGACTTGGTTTTCTTTAGCAAGTTGTAGGGAAAAAGAGGAGGGACCATTATATTAAAATATATAAGAAACACACAAAAATGCAAGTGTTACCTTTGTATCCTGATTCAAATAAATCAACTTTTTGAAAAAGTTGAAATTTGAACAACTGAACGATAAGGTGAATATCTTGGGTAAGCTCATCCATTTTAATTTTGCATCTTGACATGTAAAAAACCACTCCCAAGACTCCATGTAAATTTTCTTTCCTTTTTTTGAAGAATCACTTAGTAATATTTTTGAGTGGGGAGGAGTAATAAGGAAAACACACCCACTCATATATTTTCTGAGACTTACCTTAAAAGGTGTGTTTTCAATAGTGTCATCAGCAATGCTGAAAGTCAATTTTTTTAGAGTTGCTTTATAAAACATTGCTTATATATTTATGGTAATACCGTGGGCAGAGTTTATTTGACTTTTTTTTGGTCTCATTGGGACACTGTATTCTGTGGTCCTTTAATAGGTCCTTCAGACAAATTAGTTTCAAATACTTGGGGAAGGAGAATAAGATTACAGGCTGGTTTTTGTCATATAAACCTAAATAGATTGGTGTACTTTTTGTGAGATATAATGCAGTTTTGAGGATATTTCTGTATCTTCCTTATTAGTTAAAGTCATTGCTGTCATTAAAACCATAAATAGAAATCTCAAACAGTTGATACTCATTTGTTTTCAACGGAGAGAGAATATTTCTCTGATGCCATTTAATAAAAGGCAAGTAAAAAGAGGAAACAGACATCTTTGAATTACTTTAAATGAGTACTTAGATGTTTCTGAGAGAGAAAGTGAATCTCTTCTTTGACACTTGCCACTTGTGGCTCTAGACAAATCATTTAACATCTGTGAGACAGTTGTCCACACATAGAATTTCTTCTTTGACTGTACTACAGGGTCGTTGGACAGATCGAGTAACGTATAGGAAAGCACTTTGTAAGCTGTGAAGTGTTATACAAGAATAATAATAAATAAACATTGATGGTTTACTCAGAGAGAAAGAAGGGACTTTATTCAAGAAATAAATAATTGGTTTCTTGCTAGTTGGCAGGGCACAGCGACCAATGATGTTTACCTCTTTGTAACTCAAGACTAAACTAGTTTTAGCAGGAGAGAGGCATTCAGCAGATACTTTCAGAAAACTTTCTGTGGTTTAGATGAATTTGCCAAAGATAGGATTTGGCATGAAGATTTTAAGTTTCTGTTTCCTAGCATTTCATAGGATAAGCATTTTATAATCAGCTGGGGGAAAAAGAATAAATTTGGAGGGGAGGAGGACTGTTCCAAGACTATTACTATTGTCAAATTATTCTTGAAGCTAAGGTTTCTATCTTTAGTTGAAATATCAAAAGGAAACATTTTACTATAAGTAACAATATGTTATAAATTAATTTATATACATTTTAATTAGGTATATATAAATTTATATTAAAGTGTATATATGTTATATTAAATATGTTACGGTATATGAAACCAGCAAGTCTAACTTAAATCTTAATGTTCTCCAAAGAGAAAATACAACAGAAGCTAACATGGTAAATTGTGCAAGCTCATTAAAAATCAAATAATGGGTCACTCCATCTCTACCCTCATCATTGGAAGGAAACAGTAGCAGTAAAAATGGCAGAGAATCAGGTTGAGTTTTTCTCCTTGGCTTGGCAGAACATGTGTCTTAGGCAAGGAGGTGGTGGAGGGATCAAGGGTGCTATAAGGCAAAGAGAGAAATCCTTGGGTGGATCCAGATACCACCTTGCTCTTTTGGATGCCTATGCTAAACAAAACTCCAAAAGAAAAACAGGCTGGAGTTTGCCTGTGGGTCACAGTGTGCCAACCTGCATTCTAAATTATTGCCTAGTATTTGTGCATAAAAATATGCTATACTTCATTTAATCATTTATCTGGTTAATGTCCAACTTTTCACTATTAAGCATGCTGTTAAGAATATCATTATGCAAATAACCTTGCACATGTATGAGTACTTCTGCAAGAAAATTTACAGGTCAAAATGTGCATATTTTTTTCAAACTTTTATTTAAGGTTCAGGAGTACACGTGAAGGTTTGTTACATAGGTAAACTTGCGTTACAGGAGTTTGTTGCGCAGATTATTTTGTGACCTAGGTACTAAGCATAGTACCCAATAGTTATTTTTTCAGCTCCTCTTTCACCCTCCTCTCTCAGGTAGGCCCTAGTGTCTGTTGTTCCCCGCTTTGTGTCCATGTGTCCTCATAATTTAGCTCCCACTTATAAGTGAGAACATGCAGTATTTGATTTTCTGTTTCTTAGTTTGCTAAGGATAATGGCCTCCGGCTCCATCCATGTTCCTGCAGAGGACATGATTTCATTCTTTTTTACGGCTGCATAGCATTGCATGGTGTGTACCACATTTTCTTTATCCACTCTATCATCGATGGACATTTAGGTTGATTTCATGTCTTGCCTATTTTTGAATAGTGCTGCAACGAACGTACAAATTCATGTGTCTTTGTGATAAAATGGTTTATATTCCTGCATGTGTATTTGGGATTGCTGAGTTGAACAGTAGTTCTATTTTCAGCTCTTTGAGGAATTACCACACTGCTTTTCACAATGGTTGAACCAGTTTATACCCTCACCAACAGTGTATAAGCATTCCCTTTGCTTCGCAACCTCTCCAGCATCTGTTATTTTTTGATTTTTTAGTAATAGGTATTCTGACTGGTGTGAAATGGTTATCTCCTTGTGGCTTTGATTTGTGTTTCTCTAATGATCAGTGATATTGAGCTTTTTTAATATGCTTGTTGGTTGCATGTATTTCTTCTTTTGAAAAGTGTCTGTTCATGCCCACTCTTTAATGTTTTTTTTTTCTTGTAAATTTGTTTAAGTTCCTTATAGAGGCTGGATATTAGACTCCTTCAGACACATAGTTTGCAAAAGTGTTCTCCCATTCTGTAGGTTGTCTTTTTACTCTGTTGATAGTTTCTTTTGCCGTGCAGAAGCCATTTAGTTTAATTAGATCCCATTTGTCAATTTTTGCTTTAGTTGCAATTAGGTGTGCATATTTAATCATGTAAATTACTTCCAAATTCTCTCCCAAAGATCTTTGCCAACTTAGACTCCCAAAACAGTGTATAAGAATGGGCTACTTCTAGGCCAAGCCAGCACTGTCTATTATTTATTTATTGATTTTTATAAGTATTATCAATATTACCTGTAAAACAGGCAACTGTTTGCAACTGCTTAGTTTGAAGCTGCTCTATTTGTTCACGAGGCTTGAAAAATCTAATAACATCCCCTTACTTTCCTCCTTGATTTAGAATAAGAAACAGATGTAGGAATAAAGAAGCTAGGGAATGTCATCTATGCTATGTTAAAACTGTTAGACAATGTAGGCCGGGCGCAGTGGCTCACACCTGTAATCTCAGCACTTTGGGAGGCCAAGGCGGGTGGATCATGAGGTCAAGAGATCAAGACCGTGTTGAAACCTTGTCTCTACTAAAAAATACAAAAATTAGCTGGGCGTGGTGGCACTGC